AATTCACTATGAATTTTTTATATATAAATAAATATTTATAATTTTACACTTTGTAATTATTATTAATTAAATATATATTTCAATTTATTATATTTATATTAAAATATGTATGTAAAAGAAATATTTAATCATTTTTTATTTATATATATATATATATAGAGAGAGAGAGAGAGAGAATATTTATAACATTATTATTATTATAACACTATATTCAAACATTTGAATACTTATAACATTATTATTATTATTATTATAATACTGTATTCAAACATTTAATTATATATATAAGTTAATTCATTTTTAAGTTATCATTTAAAAATAAGAAATATATAGTTTATAAGGAAATATTTAATAAGTTAATTTTTATTTAATTAGTTCGAAGTAATAAAAGTTTAAACTATCAATTCTTTTTAATCATTTAAAATACAATTATTTTATTAAGATAAAATTTGATATATGATAAATAAGAATAATAAGATCTAAAAAATATGACATAATAAAACCTAAGAAATATAAATTATAAATAAAATAATATTAGTTACTACTACGATTTATGTAAAATATTTAGAAAAAGATAAAAAAAAAAAATTAAACTGTGTTCATCAAATTGGTTAAAAAGATTGAAAAAAAAATAAATTGATTGGAGAGATTAAGGAAATGTGAAAAACAAAAAGGTAAGAGAAAGAGAATAATGTAATAAACTAATTGATATAAAAAATTAAAAAAGATAAAAAAATTAAAAAGTGAGTAGAAGAAAAGTAAAATTGGTAAAATATAAAAACATGACCTTATATATAATAGAAAAAAGGAAATACTTTAAAAATATTAATATTTTAAAATTTAAATTTAAATATAAAGTTGGGGTGGGGGTGGGGACGGGGACGGGGTCGGGGTGGGGATTGTATTACTCATCCCCGCCCCGCCCCCACCCTCGGTCAACTCAGTTTTTCATCCGTCAAACTTAGGGCAAGGATGGGTTCGTCCCCACGAGTACGAGTTTAATTGTCATCCCTAATGGTGGAGGTTTGGCCAGTGACTAGAGTGGAGATGGGGGTGGCTTGCAATGTGGAGAGTGGCTAGGCTTTTGGGTACAAGAGAGCGCGGGGTGTTAGGTGAGAAAAAGGTTAGGGTAGAAGATGGATGGGTCGTGCAAGAGAAAAATAAAGTCTAGTTGATATGGGCTCAATGCAAACCAATGAGTGAAGTACCGGGGAGAGCAGCCATCGAAGGGGTGGTATTGTAACAAGTCTCACTTCAGGGAGGTCTCCTTACCAGGGAGGCCTTATAAGGTGAGAGGTTCTCCAACCTCTTGGGCCGGTTTTTGAGGGATGGTTCCCTTCCTTAGATTTATGATTATTACATTGGTGTTTTCATTGGATAGTAACATGACTAATATTATTTGGGGTAAGAATATAATCAACGTAAAAACAAAAGTAAAAATAAATGAAGGGATAAATAATATCTTAAAATCTTCCTTTAGTGTTTTTTTGTAGAGGGAACAAATATGAACGAAAAATAATATTTGAAGAAAAATAAGGGATAATGGGTGGTGGACCTAGAGAGATTCAAGGAAAATGGGGAATATTTAGAAAAAATGGGGTAAGATTGTTAGGGGAGAGAAAAGTAAGAGGTTAAGGGAGATATTTTTATTATTTATATTATTTTTTATTTTGTTATATATATATATATATATATATATATATATATATATATATATATACATATATATGTGTGTGTGTAAATTATCTAGATGAAATTGAGTGTTGACACTCACAATCTTGAGAAAGTGTGTTCCTCTTTGCTCTTTTAACATCAATAGTTCTTTTCATGTGTTACCTCTAAAAATCTCACATCTCGTCTGTGTTGTTGCATTGTGATACGTAAGTGATGATGTTCTTAGCTTTTGAATCATGCTATATTTTTCTACCTTTTTCTTCTATTCATTTACTCCATAATTTTTTTTTTCTAAATGTCATTGATCTTTAGCATAAGATAAAATGTCTATTCTCTATTGCATTCCAAACATCTTTGTTGATTCAATAAATATCTTCATTTTAACATTCTAAAATTGGTAGTTGACTCTATTGAAAACAAGAGGTATATTTATGGATGCACCTTCAACAAACAGAAGTTTGTTTTTATTCATTGTCCACAATCTTAAAAAGAAACTTGAATACCTTACAAGAATCACTCATGATACCAATTGTTAAAATATAAAAATAAGTTCAAGTGGGAGTTGAATTGAACTTTGCAAGGTTTTAACAATTCAAATTAGATTTAATTAATAACAACATAATAAATTTCAATTTAAAGATACAATGTAATTCAAGATAGTGATATGAAGAAAAGTAAGGTACAATGTTTATACTAGCTCACTTCACTAAGAAAGTTACGTTTAGTTGTCCAACACACTATTAATCCATTATAATTTTCTTAGTTTATACAAACACTTAACAAGAAATGCAAAAAAGATACCAAACAACTTGATCTTGAATACAAGATCAAACAAGTCTTAAAATGAAACTCTATGATACACCTTAAAAATTGATGAAATATATACTATCGAATTAATGTTTATAATTGTCTTCAGATAATTTCCAATGATAAAAAATAAAAAAAAATTAGAATAAAGATGAAAAATGAAGAAGATACCACAATTTAAATTGGTAAATTGAAAAAGATTGACTAGTTTGAATATGAAAGTTCAAATATAAGAACCAAAAGTTCTTAAAAAAAAAAACTAAGAGAGAATTTCTCTCACAAAGCATAAGTTTCAAAATTTTCAATTATTTGAATTTTCTAAATTATATGAAAAAGAGTACACACAAATAATCTTTATGTGTTATGATTATAAAACTTAAGGTCCATTTCTAATTAAGCCTATCCATTAAACCTTATAATTTCTAATAGAAATCAATGTCTAAAATGTCTTTAATTAAAAAATTAAAAAAAAAAAAACATGCAAAGCCCAATACAACAAATTACAAAAATTTAAATTCAAAAATTATATTTTAAATTTCAAATCTATTACTGAACACTTCATGTATTCATCAACAACTCTAGCCAAGAACCAAAATTTTGTCCACCTAATCAATATAACAATCTTATAACATTAGTAAGGCACATAATACAAAAATTTATAGAATAGAAAAAAGAAAACAAGTTCACCTAAAATCCTTTAATTCAATCACAAGAATCGATATAAAAAGGTGAATCACTAGTATAATATAATCTTAATATAGTTTTAGAGTAAACCCAATAATTAGTTGAGCTTTGAAGTTTTGCATAGTATAACACTCGTAAGAATAAGAAAATAATTTTAATAATTTTTTATTTGTTGAATTTGGAGATTGAAATATATATATATATATATATATATATATATATATATATATATATATATATATATTTATTGTTGTTGTAGTTTTAATGGATTAAAACTGTTTTAATTCATTAAAATTATATAAAAAACAAAATCTCATAAATTTAATATTTAATTTGTTAAGTCGAACTTTTTATTATGTTATCACAATCTTTTTTCTTGGATTCAAATTTATATAATTTGACTAGCAATCTTATTTAAGATGGTTGAAATCATCATTATGCCCCTCAACTTAGTTTGATCAAAGAAAGTGAATAATAAGACATTATGAACTAAGATAAATTGTTAGATCTAATAATAATAATAATTTTTATATTTAACGGTAATTAAAAATTTTTATTCCAATAAAATATTTAAAAATAAATAATTTAAAATGAAAGTAATTCAACTTCATTATATTTAACTTTCTTAAAAATTTTAAAATCTTTTATCCAAATACAGGAACATATAGTTGATTAAGTGTAGTTAACGTATACCAATTTTTCTACAATTAGGTAGAAAGTGACTAATCATTCTCCAAGAATAATAAAAATCTGATAATCTATTTGTAAAAATGTCAAACTCCAATCAATTATCAAGATCTTGACCTTGTGCAGGTATTCCATAGAAGAAAAGTCAAATTGAAAAAGAAAAAAAAAACACTTTTACTTAAAAAGATAACATTCCGAACTACTCCCAAAAATTCTTAATTTAATATATAAATCTTGAGATTTAATAATCAAATTAAGAAATCGTTTATACAGATCCTCAATATTGTTTTTTTATTGCTCTTATAAAATAATCATAAATTAAAACCTAAAATATGAGTCTCAAAGTTTCAAAGTAGGTGGCGTCAAAGTTTTCTCGACAGCGCGTAACATGTGATAAATAAAAAATGTTATCGCAACATGACTAATATAATAATATTTATTATGTTGTTAACTGTGATGGCACATGACTAAATAATACATGTTTTATTTTTACACAGTCATTCATTATCAAACATAAATTATTGAAGAATATTTTTGGTATTTTTTTTAATTATATCTTAAAAATTTATCTATTAAGTAGATAGATCGTTTAACAATTTATTTAGATTATATTGAATTACATTTAATGTATCCATACTTTTATCTATCTAATAAATAGTATTACCTTATAAGATTTAACTTATTTTTCATAAAATTAATATAATTTTTTAGATACTTTTAAAATATTACAAAATAATTATGATTTCTTTTATACTATACCAAAACATTAAAAAAATCAATTAAAATATGATATCTTATATTAAAAACATGACTAATGAAATACTAATGCAATGTTTGAACACGTTTATCTATAAACACTTTTATATTAACAAATTAAAAAAAAAGTTTATTTATACACTCAAATCAATTTATACATAAATTAAAAATAAAATTTTAAAATGTTTTTGAAAATAAATTTAAGCATTAGTTAATATTAACTTGTGAATAACCTCGTTCATATAAGAATAAAATAAAATCAAGATATTTTCAACAACAAAAGACATATTAAGAATGAACCGAAGTTAGTCTCATATTTCTACTGGTTCAACTACTTTAGTTCATTCAAAAGGTAAAATACTGTTTTCCCTGTGCCGTTAACACAAACAAAAATGGTTCCTTGGAACTCATTTGCATTAGAAGTGATCTACCATGTATTTGGTTGGCTAGCTTTCTTTTTTTGGGGAGTTTCTGGCTACCCACAAGTCATCTTAAATTTTCGTAGGAAAAGGTTGTTTTTTCATCTTCTATACTCATTTCTGTTTCTGTTCTTCCTTTGGGGTGCACTCTTAAGTGATTTTCGTTGGTTTTGTAATCTATCTCAGTGTGGTGGGATTAAGCTTGGATTTTGAGATTCTGAGCTTAACCAAGCACTTCTCATATCTCATATACAATGCTTCCCTCTACTTTAGCCCTGTTGTTCAAAAGCAGTACTTTGACAAGTATGGTTATAAACAGGTATGTCCTTTTCAACCATGAGTGCACAAGTTTACATATCTGCACATTTTACCACTAAAGCATCATTATTTTGCCAATTTTATTGTTCAAAGTTTTTTTTTTTTTTTTTACATGTATTTTATTACCATACTTTTCAACTTCTCACAATGTAGAGATCCATTAAATTTCTATCAAAGTGATGATGAACATCCTTCTGATCCAGATTTATTTTATTTATTTATTCCTTGATAGGTCAACTCTTGGTTTGAAATTTAACAAGTGCAAAATTGAGAAGTTGTTCATCCCTATGATTTAGATGTTCTCATGAGATCTAATTTTGCTTTGTAATATCTTGTTAGTGCAGATGATTCCAGTTGCTGCTAATGATGTTGCTTTCGCCACTCACGGAATCTTAGTACATTTAATTATATTATCCCAAATCGTAATGTTTGAAGTAAGTGCAATCAACGGTTCTTCATAAACAAGAGAGTATATTTTCCTCTCATGACCATTTTGTTTAGTAGCTTTTGCTAGTGACTTAGTTCAGAGATAGTAAATGATCTCTGATTTGCAGCGTGGAAATCAGAAGTTCTCCTACTTTGCCATTGCAATAGTTGTTGGGGCGTGGTTTGGTGCTGCTGTTTGTTTTTTCATAGCATTGCCTAGTCAATCCTGGCTTTGGCTAATCTCCATCTTCAAGTAAGTTTCACTCTTATTATGACAAATCTTTTTTACATCGTCAAGGATTTGATAATGCTAAAAAAACTCTTACACAGTATTTGGTTAAAGTTCTAATGATTCAGGGAATCAATATATTCATTCTTAAGAAGTTTGATATTTCATACTAGACTTTATTTTGTCCCATTCTGTTTTCAGTATGTGATTATTCAGCCTTTTCACTTTCTATGATTCATATTTATGTACAAGTGTTGGGATAAGCAAGATGCCACTGAATTTAGAAAGTAGGTTTAAAGAAGCTTTGCAGAACTGTGAAGTTGAGGCTATGGTTAAATATTATGCTATTCACATACCTAAATGTTTGAAAGTATAAATTTTAATGTCTTAGCTCACCCTTAAGTCCATACTGTCTTGCTATGAATCTTATAGCATTGAGATTGCCTAACTTAATCCAAAGGAATGGTGTTGTAACTTGTGTGTTAGTTTCCTTATGAAAGTCTTTTCAGTCATTTCAGTGTATTACAATGAAAACATCAACCTCTTCAAGGATCTTTGAAGGGAATATTGATGCTATTCTGTCTCTTCTTATTTCTTTAGTTCAATATAATTGCTTATTACTATATAGAGTTCTGTTTGTGCTATGATTTGATTTGCTTCTAATAACTTGAGGAAATCAATTATACTGCAGCATAATTCAAGTAATTATGACCTTCATCAAATATTTTCCCCAGGTCAGAAGGCCTTCCCTCCTCCATATTATGTTTTATATCTGGCATGCTTGTGTATTCATAAGCAACTAGTCATAGATTCCACATTTTATAGCATAACTGATAGGTTTTAGATCTATTTGAACAAGATTTTCCATAAAGACTTCTAGGAGAGAAAAATAAGAAGAAATGAAATTAGTTTCTCAACATTTTTTTTTTCTTTCTTACAGTCCTTGTAGAGAAATTTATCCAAACATTTCTTTTGTTTCAAAGTCTAACCTACCCTGAATGGATTGAAGACCATATCAACAGATCTACCATTTTGCAAATAAAGCATATATAAACAAAAAATATGAACTGATACCTGATTATCACTTCTCCATGCAATTTATCTCTTACTGTGTTAGTTATGGTTCCTTTGCTGTGAAATCTAGACATTCCTAAACTTCATGAGGAAGAGCACACATGGATTTAGCATTGGCACTGTTCTCCTCACTTTTTCCGGAGGTGTATTCAATTATTCTCAAATGGCAGTGCAGTCCATAGACCAAGGTTTGTGAAGTAACTATGAATTAGACCCAGATCTTATCCTTGAATGTGTATAATGAGTTTCAATCAATCTAGGTTCCTGGGTGAACTTCTATGGAAACATTGGGAAAGTGCTTATATCATTGGTATGTATTTCTATGCTATTTATTCTTTCAGTTGATGGTTTAGCAGATGTGGTTAGTGTAAAAATGGTGTGATTTGTTTACCTAAAAAATCTTGCAGGTAACTGTGGTCTATACTTGTATTCTAATGTTTCAACATTATGTGCTATACCCTGAAAACAAGAAAGAACTTGTTTCTAAAAATTCAGAAGAAACCATTCAACCTCTAATCTGTGCAAGTCCAACAGATCAACAAATCAAGCCTTCACTTAAACCAATGTAACTATCACTTCTTAATTTATTTATTAAATTTGTCTTCGTCATAAGAACAGTGTTAAATAAACTTGTGTTCATTGGTTATTATGCTGCGAATATCATGAACAAAACTTTCATTGCTTGTAATTCGGATGATAAATTATGATCGATACTACTTATTTAAATTATTTTTATATGAATTAGAAATGTCCAATATAGAAAATTTTGAGAAAATAACATAAAACTGATAAAAAAAATTGGATATATTTTTCTTAAATAATATAATTTAATCCGGATTAAAAAATTTGAATTAATTAATTAAATTAAATTAATTATTTTAAGTAAGTATAATATTATATATTTAATTTGTTTTAAAATATATTTATAAAAAATATAATAGTAAATGTATATTATAATTTAAAATTATAAGATAGTAATTTATCTATAAATATAAGAGAAAATAAAACTAAAAATATAATAATTGTAAAGAAATTTCAAAACGTCTTTTTTAACCATTTCTCTATGAAAGTTTTAAAAATTTATGGGATGATATAACATTAGTGCTTTTATTTGCTAATCTTTTGATTAATCCTAAAAAGATAAAAATATTAAAATTTTCTTTTTCGAATTATGTGAATATTTCACTCCTTAATCTTTTATCCGTTCACATAAAAACACAAGAGAAAAATATTAACATTTTATTTTTCGAATTATGTGAATATTTCACTCCTTAAATCTTTTATCCGTTCACATAAAAACACAGCAGAATGACTAATTGAAAGGTGAGGAATTTACGTATTTATTCGAACTTTTTCTTTATATAAAATATTTTATAATTAGTTGGGTTCTTAAGAATTATCTTTTTTAAAAATCAGCTTAATTCTTGACAATAATTAATGTTTCATAATTTATTTTTCAAAATTACTTAATAATTTAAAAATTACAAAAATCTCAACAACATATCTAAATCAAATCCCAAGTATTGATTTGACTGAATTAAATCAAATTGAATTATATTTTATTTTCATATTTGATAAATTAAACTACATTAACTGTTTAACGAGACTTTTAACTAAACTAACTCACAAACGTTACCAATACCAATTAATAACAGATTCGTGGAATATAATAAATAGATATTTACGATAATATTATATTAAAAAATAAAAATAAATTTAATTAAAAAAATAAATTTAATCACAATATAAAATAATATCAAATTAAATGTCTTAATATCTAAAACTCTTTTTTGTAAAAAGTCACATCATATATTTGTTGTACCTCATATTTTATTAGTATTCTCCAATTAAAATATGAGTATATTGAAACTAACCACAGTAGATAAAATAATAATAATTGAATATTTTTTTCTAACTTGAAAGAATGAAATTTAAAAAAATTGTAAAACAACTCACCCTAATCTAACCTAAAAACACGAAAAGAAATTAAAAAATCTTATAACAATAAGAAGAAAATTAGAAATTATAATTTCAAAACGGACAATATTTCGAATATGAGAATTGACTATAATAATATTATCATGACAAACATAAGGTCAAACACTATTATTCCTACATGGAACATTTGTTATACACTATGGGATCGAGAGTGAAGTCTGGTTCCACATATATTTTTAGTCATTGACTAGGGGCTTATGTTTTAATACACTTATGAGTCTTACATTGCTTAGGAGTTAAGGACAAAAGTAGTTTATATACAACATCTTCTCTCAACTCACTAGGTACCTTTAAGACATCTTCAAAAGGAGTTGCTAACAAGAGTTGCTTAAAAACTCTCTTTGGAGATGCCCTACAAACAAAACCGTGACGAATTAGAGTTTCAAAGTGAACACCGCAGACATGAAAATTGATCATAACAATACTATCATAACAAATATGAGACCAAATCTCTTTATGCTAAACAAAAAATTTTAGTTATCACTATTACAATATACCCTTTTTTTCGTTTTTTTTTTATATTTTTGGGCTCATTACCTTTTAGGCTCATCTTCCTTTGTATTTAGTCACTTACACTTACGTTGCTTATCTCTCTTTCTCTAGTTCTCTCTTTTCCCTCTTTATTTTGTTATAGTTTCGCGGTTCTTGTTTATGTTCCTTCTTTCTTTTGTGTTTCTTTCCTTCTCTTGTTTAATGGATGTGTCACAGAATCCCTCTAGCCCATATTTTATACATCCACGAGAAAGTTCACGGACAGTTCTGGTTACACCTCAACTTGATGGTTCAAACTATCATACATGGAGTCGATCAATGAAGCAGACATTGATGTCTAAAAATAAGTTTAGGTTCGTTAGTGGTGAAATCACTGAACCAACACGTAGCAGTCAATTATACAAAGCTTGGAAATGCTACAACATTATGATTCTTTTGGTTAACGCGATGTTAACATCTCAGATTGCTCCAAGCATTGTCTAAATTAATAACGCCAAAGACTTGTGGGATGAGCTTTAAGAAAGGTTTTCTATGAGTAATCATTTTCAAGTATTTGATCTACTTCAAGGAATCAATTCCATTAAGCAAGGAGAAAGAACTTTTACAAAGTATTATATTGACTTAAAGATCATGTGGGAAGAATTGGACTCCTTACGTCTTATGCCTAATTGCCTTTATAAGAAATGTAGTTGTAATATTGACAAGATCATTTATGTGTATAGATAATATGAGTGCATAATGTATTTCTTGAAAGGATTAAGAGATATCTACAATACAATCAAAACGCAAATTTTGCTCATGGGTCCACTTCTAACCATCAATCATGTATTCTCTATGGTTCTTCAGCAAGAGAGGCAGTTGAACAAAAACATCAACATTGAGAAAGTTCTTATCAATAGTATTGGATAGCAGAATCTAAAGAATGACACCAAGAATGGAAATGGATCTCAAGGATGGAAAGGCTATGGGAGAGGAAGAGGAAAGAACTATGGAAAGCAATGCTCTTTTTGCAACAAGATGAATCATACGACAGACAAATGTTTTCCAAGCATGGTTATCCACCATGGATGAAGCAAAGGTATAACCACACCAGAAACACCATAAAAAAGAATGAAGAAAATTCTCTTGAGAAACAAAATGCAAATGAACAAATTTTGAAGGAGTTGAGTCCTAAGCAACTTGAACAAATTACTAGCATCATTTAGTCTGGAAAACTCATTTAATCTACAAAGCCGATTAACAACAACTTTGGTGAGAATTCTATACAACATCCACAGAAAGGTAATAATGGTAAAAGTTTATGGATTCTTGATACAGGAGTTATAGATCATGTGGCTTCCTGCATTTCTTTGTTCGTAAGTTATCATAAAAACAAACCTATAAATGTCAAGCTTTCTAATAACAATTAGGTTGTTACTAGCTATGCAGGGACTGTTAGTTTGTTTAAGCATATCATTCTTCATATGTTTTATTTATATATGAGTTTACTCTTAATATAAAATTTGCACATAAATTGGTTAATGCCTTAAATTGTCAATTTGTTTTCTCTCATGATGAATGCCAAATTCAGGAGAAGAATACCTTCAAGACGATTGATCAATCTGAGATGCGAAATGGGCTATACCACTTCTCTGTTAATAAATGCATGGTTTCCTTTATGCATGGTAGTGATGGTTTCAAACATGATAACAGAGTTGATATCTGGTATTGTATATTTGGTCACCCTTCAAACAAAGTTATGGAACAGTTATAAAAAAATAGATGATTGGGTATGTTTTAATAAAATAGATGTTTGCATCTCTTGTCATTTGGCTAAACAACGTAGGCCCTCATTTCACTTAGCAAAATCATTACCAACAGTGCTTTTGATCTTGTTCATATAGATATTTGGGACCCCTTTGAAACGCCTTCCATACATGGCCATAAGTTTTTCCTCATTGCTGTAGATGATTTCACGCAATACACTTAAGTTTATTTGATGAAAAGCAAGAGTGAAACAAGGAGTCTATTATGTAGTTTTGTTATGCTTGTTAAGAACCAGTTTAACAAAGATATTAAAATAATTAGGATGGTCAAGAGTTTTGTTGGCAAGATTTCTATAGTAAAAATGGCATAATACACCATACCACTTGTGTAGAGACACTCTAACAAAACTCTATAGTCAAACGTAAGCATCAGAATATTCTCAAAATAAAATATTGTCTTGTGTTTTAATCTAATTTACCTAAGGTTTTTTGGTCCTATGTTGGTAGTCATTCTATTCACCTTATTAATCGTTTATCTTCACCCGTTATTCACAATAAAAGTCCTTTCCAAATGATGCATGATTACATACCTGATCTTTCATATTTAAGAGTCTTTGGTTTCTTGTGTTTTTCTTCCACTCTTGAACATAATAGAAATAAACTTAATCCAAGGGCTAGGAAGTGTATACATCTTGGATTAAAAGCTGGAGTTTCAAGAAATATTTTTTTCCATGAAAATATTTTTTTTTTCAAACTCTAATGATACTTTCAAAGAAAAGATTGAACATTATGATAGTTTTTTGGAACTCATAATTGATGATTATCAATTTGAAGAAAGCCAGAATGATGTACAAGACAACAACACCAAGGAATAAGCTCCATATGAGAATCTAAGACGATTTACTTGAACTCATAGAGTTATAGAGTTTCTCAAAGACTGTCATCAAAAAATTTAAATCTCTCTTGACAATAAAAATCACCAATCAAACAAGGTATGTCCTTTCATTAACTCTATGCCTTCATACAAAAAATTATATGACAGACAACTCAATTACACTCTTTCTCTTTCGTGTCAAAACGAGATAATCGTATGAAGAGGTTGCTGAAAATCTAGAATGGACAAAAGTCATGACTGTAACATCTAGTATTTCCCAAAAATATTTCATTAATATAATGAAATATTTTGTCATTAACTTTAATAAAATGGTATTATAAGTTATTTTAAGACTTAATAATTTTTAAGGACGTTAATAAATGATATATATATATATATATATATATATATATATAATGAAATTGTAATAGAGTGAAATAAATAAATTTAGAATTGAGTT